GCCCCACACCCCGCACCCCACACTCCACGCCCCACACCCAATACCCTGAAAAAGAGAACGAGACTGAGATCCTTTTCCTGATGTCATTAAAAAAGAAGAATATATTTGTAATTTGAAATTCGAATTGAATATTTCATTTAAAATATATTAAATTGTCACCAACAGATTATTTTATTTTTTTGTAGATGCAAATGTTACTGATCATTTCAGTATAACTGGTTTAAAAAATGGTAAAGTGTCAAAATGTCGAAAGGAAAATGTAGAAAGTGAAAATGTAGAAAAAAAAATGTAGAAAAGCAAAATGTCGAAAATTATGAACCCCTGAAAATCCTTGATGAAAAACTTTTTCTAAGATTTGATCAATAGAATGTAATACGGTACACATTCACAGAGCACAACAGTGAGGGTGAGGGCGAAATCTGTGACCAAAAATGATTTAGATTTTCGACAATCTGCTTTCGACATTTTCTCTTTCGACATTTTTGCTTTCGACCTTTAACCACCTATTCTAAAAAATTGACTTATTGACAAATTTGTGAAAAACAAATAAGCATACACTACACTGTATAAGGCGGTTGACGCATAATTTCTATGTTGATTGCTCTTGTGTTTTATATATATATACATACGCACATAGTTTATTGCTTGTTTCTAGATAACATGAGTAATCGCACATACGATCGGTTTTACAGTACAATACCAGGTGTTACTGACAGAGAATTTAAAAAGAGTAAATTTATCAAATATTACAACAAAACAGAAAGGTGTCCTAGCCATGAAGATGTAATCGAATCACTTCTCAACTTATCCTCCATACATAGTAGCTCTCATCCGTTGTGCAGAATGATTAGGAGAGAACCAAGTGAATACGATGTACTTAAAGCCTATACTTCTGAAGTCGAGTATGGTTCAAAAACGTTTTACAAATATCTGAACGAGCAAATATTGAACGACAGGAAATCCACATTAAAACACTTGATGCCATTTATTCGTAGAGCCACTTATCAAATTAATTATAATGGACCTGACGAGTCATGTGTTGTATATCGTGGTATGGAACTTGATGAAGATCAACTGGATTATTTTATTCCTGAAAAGGTATTTCGTTTTCCAGGCTTCACATCAACAAGTACAATTAAAAGCGTAGCTAAAGGATTTGGTAATACTTTATTCAAAATTCGTCTGTTCTCAGATTGTCCTCAAGTGAGGAATATAGGAGATATTTCATATTTTCCAATGGAAGAAGAATGGCTCTTTGTTCCTTATTCACGTTTTAAAGTTAAAAAATGCAAAAACCGAGTAATTACTTTGGAAGCAACTGATAATGTAGGAGATGATGACGAATCAACTACAAGTAGTGACGATTCTCAAGATACAGACCACCGATGATGATGAATAATGACAACTTATTGTTATATTATGTAGACAAATGAAAATTTCCACTATATTTATACTGTGATTTATTTTCCTAAAAATACGTCAAATATTAATAATATTTAATTTCCAGATTTCTATACTATAATACCCGATTCTACAGAATTCACAGCAGAAGGGTTTGGGTGTGGGTG